ATTAGTATGTATAGTTTATATAAATAAAACTTTCAATCCAGTTATTGGTTTTTAAAAATGTAAATTAAAAAAATGAGTTTTTAGATATGTCTTTTTAAAATTTAAAAAAAAAATTAAGAGGAAAACTAGCAAAATATATTTCTATATATATATTAGTATTTATTAACCGAATTTAAAAAAACTTTAAGAGAAAAAACACCTTGAAACAATGTCTGTTTCATTACAGCACCACAAAATGACCAAAGCAAGTTCATTCCTAATTTAGAAATAGGTTATTTTATTTTTTTTTAATTAAAGATTATTGAAATAACGTATTTTCAATTTTTTACACTTTTTTCATATATGTTATTTACTTTCAATTTTCTCTGGATTAATACTCTCCCTCTCCTCCCAAGTGGATTAGGTCAATCTTATACTTTTTAACTAATTTGTTACATTTTGGTTTCTATTTTACATTTAAAGAAAATCTTTGAAGAAGCCTTCCACCAAGCACATCCTTTTTTCGTCATTTGGAGTAAGCACTAAACATTTAAGCAAGGTGCACATTTTTTCCATCATTAACTGTTGTCTCATTCTTTGAATTTGCATGGTACATTGACAACACATTTTTTCTGTTTAATTTTAGTAGATTTAATTTTTAATTTAAGGTGTTTAGATTTAATTTTTTATTTTTTTTAAAGATGTTGTTTAATACAATCATTCCTATTTTAACTTTATTTTAAAAAAATAATTACAACAAAAAATGTAGTAAGAAAGTTTATTTAGTAGTAATTAATTAAGAATAAATATGAAATTTTATGAATTAATTAGTACATCTTTATTAGATAAAAAAATGTTATGTCTATTAAAATTGAACAAAGGGAGTAAATATTATTAGTCTTTTTTTTTTGACGAATTATGTGTTTAAAAAATTGTTTAATATTATGTGTTTAGGCAACATATTATTATAATTATTAAAAAATAAGAATAAAAATTTAATATCATTCAAAGAGTTAACAATTCTTGTTGTCACTGTTAAAACTTGTTTTAAACATTTTTTTTTTGCCACTATTAAAACTTGTGTTATACAAAATTTTTATTTTAATTTTACTCCTTCCATCATCAAATAATAGATATTTTTTTATTTAAAATTTATTT